GTTGATTATAGCACCATCATCATCTCCTCACAGTGTGTGCACATTCATGAGAAAGATAAATGGAGAGATGAAGTGGTTTGATTATTAAAATCTCTAATTAAAAGCTGTCACAAAAGCTCACGACTGATGGCTTGGTGAGGAATAAAGTCACTTGCCTGTAAGACCGTTGTTGTGTTTCGTTTAAACAGCACATTTGCAAGCCTGCATGGCATCTTTTTAACAGCAAAGGGGACAATTACGAGACACGCTCCGGAGGACAGGGCCAAAAACACCTCCACCACAGAGGGGTCAACGGTTAATGGAGAGGACAGAAATACAACATCTTCTGCAGTCATCTTAAAGACAGATCTGTTGAGAAAGTATTTATAAAAAAATAAAAAATAAAAATGATCTGACAACCTTTGTATGAACATTGGGGCTAGTTGTCACAAAGACTGTATCTTAGTAACTGTAAGGTTTTAAATCCAATTAAGTCCAATTACACAAATGTGTTGTTGTTTTTCCAAAGTAAAATTTCAATGTAATATTTTTGCTATAGCTGTCAGGTAAAGAAGTGAACACATTAAGACAATAATGACACACATTCAGGTAAAAATCAACTATATAATGTATGCAGATTTCAACTAAAAGTTCAATGTGTTCTTACCTTAGATGTTTAATATTAGGCACAATACACCTGTGTGGGACCTTCATTATTTTTGGAAGCCCGGTTGTTCCGGATGTGTGCAAAACATAAGCCAAAGGCTCCCTCTGTTGGATGTATTTGATCATAGCAGAGTTGGAAGGCTGATCAGTCGTTTGAATGTTTGCGTCCTGCTCACTTTGTATTTTTATTAAAGTGAGCCTATGAGAGGACAATGTAGGGATAACAGGTTGGAAAATGCACTCTGGAATTGCTGTTGGTTATAAAACAATAATATTAATAACAATATATAACAGATGCGCGCTGCAATGCTGCTGTCGAACGCGACAGCTGTTTTATTGCCATGAGCACACGCCGCCTCGTGCACCAGTTCATGAAGGAATTTTGCTGTTATATCTGAGCGAAAATTACATTTCAGAAATTGCAACGTACAATTAATTCCTAACTAGCCGTTTAGGAGCGCCTGTTTTGCAAACTAGCCAAAACCAATTCGTGAACTAATTTGAGTCGTATGCTTTTTTAACAAGTTCGCAAAGGTCTGAACGAGTCGTTCGCGAATCAGACTGAATCACGTCATTTGTTCGGTCCGAGCGGTTCTCGAGTTAACGACTCACGATCTCATTAATTAACGCCGATTTTTTAGACAACATATTTTGAGTTTAAGGGGTTCAGTGTGGAGGACGGAGGAGCTGAACACGCAGCGCCAACCGATACCTGGACTCTTGATGGCTTGATTGGCTTCAGAGTTGAGACAGAACAACTAATATAATAAAAGAAAATCCTGATTGCATAATAGCACAGTAGGTGGCGATATGCGCAAAGATTGCAACTCGCCATAAAACCAAGAAGAAGAAGACAACATTTTTTTTTTTGTATTGTATGATGTAATTACCAAAGTATATTTATGTTTTAAATTATTTTAATGTGCTGAATCACTGCAGCAAGTATATAGGGCACATGCAATTACAAAAAGGAAAGGACGTGATTTGTGGCCAAGTATGGTGACCCATAAGTTACTTGTAATTTGTGCTCTGCATTTCACAAATCCAAGTTCACATACACAGCAGTGAGAAGTGAACAAACACACACGAAAAACAACCTTAATAAAACCTAATCGAAAAATAAAGCCATTTGTGTCTATAAAATTTAGAGAACCATGTGGAGACGCAATTTCAAATAACCTCTTTTATGCCTGCAAACGGTTCGAAATAACCGATTCGTGGAGTTGACTCGGACAGCCCATTTGACAAATTCGCGCTTTAAGATGACGTTTTCGGGTTGCTTGAAAGAACGTCCAATCACAGCTCGAATTTTTTACTCGGGGAGAAATTTGAAAGTTCATGCGAGCCGCTGGCTGGCTGTAAAATCTCAATTTATGTTGGTCAAATAAATTCGTTTGCAATAGATTTGTTAATGCAACATGTCTGCAAAACCTTTATATGCAGATCAATTCAAGAGAAATGACGATGCGTTTAGAAACACGATGGAAGCTATTTTTCAAAAGGTACGTAACTTAGTGTTACCAGATAAAGTACATGTATTGGCGCATGTCTTACCAAATGTTATGTTTCTAAAAAACTGTACGTTATTTATAGTATTCTAGTCTAAATGATCCTGGGATAGACGTCTGTCTGAAAACAATGACCTGCAGGACTGGTAGAGGTAGGCTAAAATATCGAAATTAAAAAACTGATATCTAAGCATTTCTACTCGCTGGGTGGGTTATTAAAAAAATAAAAATAAATAAATAGATATTGTGTTGTTTTTACCTAAACATTAAGATTTGTTTCTGAGTTTGTGTATTATATGACTGCAGGTCCTGTGCCCATTGACAGTGTAGAGGGAGAACGTGAGTTGGAAGCATTAAAGGTGAGAGTCATTGTTGTAAATATAACCCAGAAAATCTAAATTGAATGTATGTTTTCTGAAATATTTAGATTTGGTTTATTTAATAATCATGGGAATAATAAATTCCCCCTGTAAATAATATATTGGTGCTCTTCAGTAGGACATAATCATGATAGTATGAACTGGTAATACACATGTTTGCATTAGCTTTGACCTGAAATATGAATTAGAATTTTTTTCTTTGACCCAGTTTCTGTAAGTTTGCATAATGGTTCTATTGGGATATTACATTTCTTTTCTTATATGCAGACTCGAGTTAGAGCAGACATTTCGATGAGGGGTGAGAAACAAAATGTTGTGATTTTGGTTGATTTCTATCAGTTGTTTTGAGTTTAATGCCATTTATCCTCATTTCTCATGTTTAATCTATTTAATCTTTTTATATGTATTTTATAGAGTTTGAGGACCAGGAGAATGATCAGGTAGTAAAAAGAAAATTATAGATTTTTAAAAAAACACAAAAAGTTAAAAAAAAATTATTATTATTATTTATTTATTTATTTTGTTATTCCCACCAGTTTCAGATGGATGTGTCAGGGGTCGCTGAGGATGATCTTAATGGCTCAGGTCAAAAGGAAAACAGTGAAAATCTGTGTAAGCAATGAGTATATAACACTTATATGTATATATAAATATAAAACAAACAAGTAACCTTGCACTTTATCACAAAATAAACATTTCAGTTAGTATTTCTGTTATTTACAGTCAAATATTTATGAACTACAAACTGTATGCTCTTACATTCATTTATTGAAGAAATACAAAATTATGTTTAGAGCTGCCATCAAATTCATGTCTCAATTATAATCTTCTAGGGCACAGAGGTGAATCATTCCAGCTCTCTATGAATCTGAATAACACATCTCCTGATTCTCTGTGGGGTGAGCCATCTCAGCCTGAGGAAGAGGATGAAGAACTTGAGAAAACACTGAGCAGCCATGGCAGTACCCTCCTGGATGTCTATCCCAGCATGCTCAACCAGATCGGCGAGGCATACAGGCGACAGCACGCGACTGATACGGCGAGGGCCGTGGTGCAGAAGTACCGCCACAAACACTGGCAAGCCGGCCCGTCGCATCGCAATGCATCCTTTAAGAACAGACACAACTGCACTCTGAACAAAACAACAGAGATCTCATTTAACAGTCAAAGTCCAGTTCAAAGAAACATTAGCAACTGTTTCAAGAGCAGTTACAAACTTAAACATTTGCTCAAGAACAAACCAAGGTCTTCGCCACTCAAACATTCATCCTACGAGGCCAGTGCCTGTTTTTACTCACCCAGGAGGAACAGCGTGGATGTAAGCGGTGTGACGGATGAGTGTCCATGGACTGATTTGCATTTAACCAGTAAACCTGCGCGTGTGATTGACTTCTCCACACCTGCATATTCTGGTTCCCCCTCATATAGTGACCAATCTCCAGATCTGGACCAAACCTATGATGTTGGACCAACATTTCATGCTATTCCAGCCTCATCGGTTCTTACGTCTCCACGACAAAGCAGAGCAGATCTGTCTCTTATTGACCAGAGAGGAATATCAGTCACCTCCCGACCTTCCTCATTGGACAAAGACTGTTTCAGGGACCGCCTTCACTCCCCAGTCCCCTCCCCTCACCGTGGTCTCATTGGTGTTTTATCTACTAGTGGGAAAAGTAGCTTCAGACCCGGTGTGCTGAACATTGAAAGACAATTAAACTCAACAGCAAGTCCAAAGCGAAGGTCTCCTGTCCACCATCTGTCCCATTCTGAGGTCCTCAGATCTCCTTATGGTGCCAAACAGGTGCCGTTGTCATCACCGCGGTGGTCTGTTTACGACCACCCTGACCGAAGCTTATCCAAAGTGGAGAAATCCCATTTTACTCTTTCCAACCGTCAACACTCTCTTTCTGGCCCCCAGTCCACTTACTCATTCAGCGAACCGCAGATTGATGCTGAGTTCAGAAAGCTGTATCACCACTTCATCTGTCGTGGAACATCATCGCCGTGTCCTTCCTCCCACTGTCACCTGTGTGAGAGACACATGAATGAGACGTCCCGAAGCCCCAGCTTTTCCTCCTCCAGCATGTCTGCTCTCGCTCTGACACCCCTGAGAGCCAAGCTCAAGAAACGCCGCCGTCAGCCCGAAGTGGAAGAGTCACTCCGATTCAAACGCTTCAGAGAGAGTCGTTCTCCACTTAAACATCTCCAGCTGAGAGACAGCTATATGACCCCTGGCATGTCAGATATATATATACAGTTGTTTTAGTATTATTTATTATTATTTTGAATTGCCATTTAGTCATTTTTGTACTTCAACCTAAATTAAAATTTTAAACTTAAAATTGTAATCAACTTAAACTTAAATTTCAGTTACTTGCCAAGGCAACATTTCTAATATCCGTTCAAGTTTTTGATCTAATATTTTATTTCAACAGTATTTCAGTTAACAAAAATAATTTTTAATAGTTTAATAACAAGAGTAAAACATTGGTTTCTCCACTTCCTTTGCAGAGAGATGCCCCAAGCAGAGTCCATACAGTGGAGGGTTTGTAGTCACATTTTAATGTCTAAAAATACTTGCTCTACATCATTCTGGCCTCTGTATCTTGCTTACAGATATTACAAAATGTTAACTAATCAATATTTTATTTCAACAGCTGTATCACCCATGAGACCGTTAAATCAGGGTACCTCCCCACTCTCTCTTAGGTAATTTCTGCACGAAATACTGTTAATTTCTCACAGCCTTCGTTTTAACTAGTCAATACATGACTTTTTCTAGGGATGTACCAATATTAAAATTGTCTAATATAGTTTGCATAAATAAGATATAAAACAAAATTTAACCAAAATTAACTTTAAGTGCTATAAATAGTGAATTAGTGAAAATCTCCAAAATTGGCCAAGAACCAACATGGTAATAATATATTGTGCATTCCTGAAAAATTAAGATTTTTGTGTTTTGTTTTTTGAGAATGATCAGATATTATTTTTGTCTTTAACATGGTGATTAAGTATCTGTTTTCTTCAGTCTCTCCAGGAGGCGACTGCAGTATGGTCTTCTGCAGTGATGTGCTTTCCTGTACACGTCCCACAGCCTGCATTTCCCCTTGTGGGATAAACACAGCATGTATTGTGAATATATAACGTTCCCCCTAGTGAAAAAGCATGGGATGACATCCATGTGTAGACATAGTGCTTAAAATTCAGTAGTCTGGTTTTCTTTTTTGAAATATTATGTACCTGTAACGCCGCCGTCAGCCCGAAGTGGAAGAGTCACTCCGATTCAAACGCTTCAGAGAGAGTCGTTCTCCACTTAAACATCTCCAGCTGAGAGACAGCTATATGACCCCTGGCATGTCAGAACATTCTGAAGACAAACACACCTGGGATAGAGCGGTCCTGCTGCAGTGCCCCAGTCCACGGTTCCTCAGGGGCACTGGAAACCTCAGAAGAATCAGGGAGGCTAAATTAAATTTGTCTTGGGTAAAAGCATAATCGATATGACTTATGTTTTGTACTTCAACCTAAATTAAAATTTTAAACTTAAAATTGTAATCAACTTAAACTTAAATTTCAGTTACTTGCCAAGGCAACATTTCTAATATCCGTTCAAGTTTTTGATCTAATATTTTATTTCAACAGTATTTCAGTTAACAAAAATAATTTTTAATAGTTTAATAACAAGAGTAAAACATTGGTTTCTCCACTTCCTTTGCAGAGAGATGCCCCAAGCAGAGTCCATACAGTGGAGGGTTTGTAGTCACATTTTAATGTCTAAAAATACTTGCTCTACATCATTCTGGCCTCTGTATCTTGCTTACAGATATTACAAAATGTTAACTAATCAATATTTTATTTCAACAGCTGTATCACCCATGAGACCGTTAAATCAGGGTACCTCCCCACTCTCTCTTAGGTAATTTCTGCACGAAATACTGTTAATTTCTCACAGCCTTCGTTTTAACTAGTCAATACATGACTTTTTCTAGGGATGTACCAATATTAAAATTGTCTAATATAGTTTGCATAAATAAGATATAAAACAAAATTTAACCAAAATTAACTTTAAGTGCTATAAATAGTGAATTAGTGAAAATCTCCAAAATTGGCCAAGAACCAACATGGTAATAATATATTGTGCATTCCTGAAAAATTAAGATTTTTGTGTTTTGTTTTTTGAGAATGATCAGATATTATTTTTGTCTTTAACATGGTGATTAAGTATCTGTTTTCTTCAGTCTCTCCAGGAGGCGACTGCAGTATGGTCTTCTGCAGTGATGTGCTTTCCTGTACACGTCCCACAGCCTGCATTTCCCCTTGTGGGATAAACACAGCATGTATTGTGAATATATAACGTTCCCCCTAGTGAAAAAGCATGGGATGACATCCATGTGTAGACATAGTGCTTAAAATTCAGTAGTCTGGTTTTCTTTTTTGAAATATTATGTACCTGTAAATGCAGCTTGTGTTACAATGTTATCCATTTTAATAGAACCAGTATTGTTTTTTTAAACAAGTGTCCAATTACATGTGCATTGATGAATGGTATGTTTGTCTATAAATAATTCAAATGTTTTGTTTCAACAAACGTTTTAATATGGTCTTCTGCAGTGATGTGCTTTCCTGTACACGTCCCACAGCCTGCATTTCCCCTTGTGGGATAAACACAGCATGTATTGTGAATATATAACGTTCCCCCTAGTGAAAAAGCATGGGATGACATCCATGTGTAGACATAGTGCTTAAAATTCAGTAGTCTGGTTTTCTTTTTTGAAATATTATGTACCTGTAAATGCAGCTTGTTTGTTACAATGTTATCCATTTTAATAGAACCAGTATTGTTTTTTTTAAACAAGTGTCCAATTACATGTGCATTGATGAATGGTATGTTTGTCTATAAATAATTCAAATGTTTTGTTTCAACAAACGTTTTAATAAACAAATATGTGCATTTCACATACTGAGTTTCATTTTGTGCATTTTTGAGGACTAACAGAAAAGCAAAACAATCGGGTTTCTTAAGAAGCATGACTTCTAAAGCTCACATCGATTCAAAAGTAAGATAAATGTCCAGAAGCTTACATGGATACTGAAACAGATCGTTTAAACGTTTTGATATTTACAAGATGTAGTGATTTTACTAGACAAGAATCTTGACCAAAGTAGTGGTTTAAAATCTGACAGTAACAGGAATGCTTTTAATGCAACTCCTAAAGGAATGTTTGAGAATAGGAAAAATTGAATGTTTTATTTTAATTCACACAGTATTTGGCCTGCCTTTTATGACATTTACAAATGCTACAAATGTTAAAGCAGCACCACAGTTTTAATTCTGGTTTTAGTCATATTAACAAAAGATTTCAAAAGACAAACAAAAAACTAATTCTATACAGAAATGAAGACATTTATGTGAATAGCAGTTCGGAGGGCTGACATTCACCACTCCAGCTCCACTGGGTATTTTCCTGTGAGGCAGGCTGTGCAATGACCAAATCTAGTAGTCTTAGTGCTGATCCTCTCATCTTTCCCATGTGACTCTATCCCACCTTGAACAGCAGATACCAGGCCTTCAACTGACAGATAACGGACACTTGTAGCACCTGTTCAAAGCGAAGGAAAAACGAACAAACAATGAAACCACATAATTATAAATTACATTTTTCTGTTTTCAGATGGGAAGTGTTTTTATACTTTTCATAATTTGTGTATTCATTACAAAACCTTAGCAATTAAACAAATCTCTGCTCCTGACTTACCAATATAACCCGCTATATCCTCAAACTCTGGTTTGTTAGCAATTAGCTCCTCTTTGGTAGGAATGTTAATGCCCATGTAGCATGGGAACCGGATTGGAGGTGATGCAACTCGAATGTGGACCTGTGATGTGTCATGGGACATGACAAAGACACTGTCGGTGAAACTAGACCAAAGCAGCAAACATACAGTGCTGATTCAAATATATTTTTACCTCTGTTGCACCTGCTTCCTTCAGCAGTTTAATAATAGGGGAGATGGTGTTGCCCCTCACAATCGAATCATCGATAAGCACCACTCGTTTACCAGCAAAGTTATCAGTTAACGCCCCAAACTTCTTGGCAACTCCAAGCTGACGTAGGCGAGTGTTTGGTTGAATGAACGTTCTGCCAACGTAGCGGTTCTTACACAGCACCTCTACATATGGAAGGCCAGACTGAGAAAGAGACAGAATGTAACACTTTGTAATGGCTCAATGAAAACAATAAAGCATTATGATAGATGTGTACAGCATCCTTATTACTCACTTGTTGTGCGTATCCTAATGCTGCAGGTGTGGCTGATTCTGGAACAGTGCTCACTACATCAGCATCAGTGGGAGCCTCAATGGCCAACTGCTGTCCACAGCGCTGCCTCACTGTATATACCATCTGGCCTGTAACACCAAAAAAATACCACTTATTTCACCTAGTTCTACATAATTATATCATAAAAACTCTTTATATAATACAAAATAATATATACTACCGTTCCAAATTTGTGTCCACTATGATTTTTTTTATGTTTTTGAAAGAACTGTTTCTTAATAACTTATATATATATATATATATATATTTATTTATTTAAATATAATTTATTATCAATCAGTGTTACATGATCTTTCAGAAATCATTCTAATATGCTGTTTTGCTGCTCAAGAAACATTTATTATTATTATTATCAAAGTTGAGACTGGTTGTGCAGCTTAATTATTTTAGTGGAAACCAGGATGTGTTTTTTTTTTTTGATGAACAGACAGTTCATAAGTACAGTAGTTGTTTAAAATAGGAATCTTAGAAATGCTTACTGTCTTGACTTACTTTTGAGCGGTTTAAAGGGTTAATTCACTGCTGGCAAAAGAGGTTTTTAAATAAAAATTGTGTTTTTTGTTTTGTTTTTTAATAGGTGACTAGAGAAACAGAGCAAAAGGCCTGTGGTGTTCCCTTTTGCTAAAAAGGTATAGAAACTTCAACACCCATAATGCACTGTGTTTGATCAGACTGTCTGTGAGCTGGGATACAAAAATGTAGAAGCATGATCTGAAATTTTAACAAAATGCATCATATGATGGACTTTAACTGAAAAACAAATGGGAAGATCTGAGTGCAGGTAACATGGAGAAAGTGTACACATTGTTTATTTACATATACTACCAACATCTGTGACAATACAAGGTGGTTGAAAATCTTACTAACCCCAATCATTTGGTTTAACCCAAACATTACTGTTACATCTCAATCTTTCCTTTCACTCAAAACATAAGAATGATATTAAATATTATGAACTTACCTTCAAATATGGAGTCTGGCCTGGCAAAGTAAACATACTCAAATATGCAGAATGCAGGAGGGTCTCCCTCTGGCCGTGGGACAACACTCAGGCTCTTCACTCCATTTTTAGAGATCTGGATGATCTCTCCGGGCTGTACTTCACGATAATACCTGACAACAGAAAAATTTAAACACACACACAATAAACAAACTAAATTATAAAACATGCAGCAGCTACTGTGTGCGGGCTTAGGGATGGAAACCCCTTTAAAGAAATGTATAGATAGCCAAAAAGAGTAATCAAAGTGTTTCTGTTAGAATGATGTGAACATACTTTGCTCCAATGGACTGGAAGCTGCAGGACTCAGAAGAGACCACCCAGCCTTCTGTGTCTGTTTCTCCAGCACCTACAGAATTAAACAACAAGTTCAGCACCATTCTAGACCTAAGGGTACAGCACAGACAGGCCACATGCACCCCTTCAGACTTTATTTTGCATCCTGTGACATGCACAGTCATGAATATATACATATTCCTATAAACAGCCCCCAAAAGTCATGGAGAAAAACAATTAAGCTACTAAAGTTCGCATACTAAAAATGAAAGCTCAACAGTCACACTCCATAACATTTTAATCTAAATTGATGGTCTTGACACAATATAATTGGCCCTTTGCATCTGTTGTAGTTTGGTTGTGTCCATGCTGGCTTCAGAAGTTGATTGCCAGTTGTAGCATGTTGTACCTTGTAGTTGAGTGTGAGAGCTATTCACAGATAATAAATGTTATTTATTATTATTATTATTATTATTATTATTACTAAAATTAATTAAACAATAAGAAATATTTGCCATAAAAAATGTTAATACAATAATAATAATGAATTATTTTATTTTACTTTACAGTATAACTATAAAACTACTAATATTTATAATACTAATATTTATAGCCCTTAA